AAGTACGGAGATTCGTAAGATACTTTCACTCGTAAATGCTTGTTTGCGTCTTTATACGAAGTACAAACGACTGACATTACCGAGACAGGTTGCTGCCGGTGCAATAAGTCGGCGGTGGGCTGAGAAACGCGCGTCCCCCTATCTCTCTCGCCTTCTGCATATATGCTACGTTTTATAAGTCCTATTAAAATGGAAGAATCGCCGATGGACGCTAAAGATGGTCGTGCGCGCGCGCACCGAAAAAATCTTCCGACACCTTCGAGGAAATCTCTCGTTAGGAAAGGAGGCGCAACAAATTGGCATAATGCAGCATTTTCTAGTAGAAATCTAATCGTCTAAGCTCGTCGTTAAGCTGCCGCGAGAGAGAAACGGTCCCGTAATTCGACGATTTTCATCGGATGGCGCTCAAAGCGTGGCCGCAACATGTTGCTTTTACCCGACGGCCGCGTGTGATCTCTTTGTGCAGACGCAAGCGCGCGAAATAAAAATGCTTTTAATTTCCGGAATTGCCAATGAAACTGCGGATATGATTTCTCTATCTACATGTCTACGGATGATTTACTGACTCGTTTAGAAAGTGTGTTGTGGGAACGATTGAAATTCCTCGATAATAGAATAAGGCAATAATTTTCCGATTTGACGACATTAATAGCCGAGAATTTTCTACAAAATTTACGGTCATTTTACAAATTATTTTGCAGTAATTTTGTCATTAGCGCATTGCATTGTCAAGTTTCCATTATTTTATATTATTGCACTTGATTTTATTTACATCTGCATTGCAATCTTGCAAATACAAATAATTACACGCAGCCAAGATTATCATGATTCAGACGAAGTACATAATTGCTAATTGCAAAATTTCGATTCGTCGATTAATCAGTTTCGATACAAATAGAATAGTCGTATAAGTTTGTTATGTGACGTTTCAGTAAAATCGATTTGTGCATATTATCGGGGACCACCTGTTGGCGAGCGCCGTGCTCGCGCTACAGTGATCCAAGTTTAATCTTACGAATGTTCTTGTGAATAGTTTTGCGAACTGAATCGCGCGATACTGTCACTATGTGTCTCCGAGACTAATTATATCGTTGCGAATGCCCGAACGCGCCGTGTCCACTCGTCAAATTTGCAAGGAAAATACTGGATATTGAAAAAAAAATAGCCTCAATTGTGCCCGGCCAGCGAATGGAGAAGAAGATCGCGTGGAACCTGCGAACGTGCTTATCGGTCGATGCGATTCAACTCGGCCTTGAATAAATCTCCGTGCAATATGTAACGGAATGACGTCGAGAAAAAAAAGCCATCGAACTCGCGTTGTGAGAAAGATAGAGAGAGACAAAAGACGCGGGGCGCCGCGTCGCAGCGCGTTGCGACAGCTCTTGCACTTTTTTACGCACGATCTTACAAAGGCGCGGTGCAACGCGCGGATTCTTGCGAAAATGCCTGACTGGCCTGAAAAAATAAGCGCTCGCCGATAAGCACCGGAGCCTGATAAGGTCGGCTCGCATTATCGCTGTTTGTTCGGGGCGATAGCGATGTGCAAAAATGAGGTTGAAATTGCAAAACTGCGTTGAAGCCCGCGCGAGGAGGAATATCGGCGAGAGGGGGGGAGCAAAGGGAGAGGGATGAGGTTGATAAATCACAGGGGCAGCACGGGCAGGGGGGTGAATGGACAGGGGGGGAAGGAAGGGTGTCGCATTTGATGCAACGCGACGAGGGGACCGCGTAATCTAAAAGGCTTATAAAAGTGCATCCGGTGGGACGATCGATAACGCCAGTTATCGACGTTTCGTACGAATTGACAGTCCATCTCGTCTCTCGAATTCTTTCCTTCCCTTCCGCAACTTACGTTTTTGATCTCGAAAATATATATCTATTTCTGTTTAATTAGCGAGGATCTCCTATTTCTGAATTTATCAATGGAATATTTTTAACTTTTCTAAAAATTTGAACTGTATTGTAACAAATTTTCGTCGACAATTGTAATAATATAATTATACTGATAATCGTCTGATAATAATCAACATTATTACTTCCTACATTATTCTTTTCTTTATATATTTGGGTTTTATTTTTTATAATTTAAGAATTTGCGGTACACTAGATAAATTCTACAATTTCCGGGAATTTCGTTGGAGTGTCGCCTGATGAAATATTTGGAAAATATGAGACAGAACTGCACGATGTCGTTAAGATAATGGAATTTAAGTCCATGCATTTATATATTGACGTTGGCATAAATTACATTGGGAATATCTGGCTGGATTCCAATCGTCCGCGTGTACTTTTATCCGCATCGCCGTGTTTGTAGGTCAAATAAATTGTGCGACTCAATAAGCGACAAATTGTGTGAAATTGTGCTGAAGCCGTTATACGGATTATATCGCATGTGCCAAAAATTGGTGTTTAAACATTTTACAAAATATATTATATATTAATTATCCGCTTAACATTGTTTTAATTAATTAATGTAATCTTTTGTACAATATATGAAACGTTATAGAAAATTTATTTTGAATGCATTACAAACAAAGATAAAAATAATACAACACATGCAGAAAACAAAGCAATTAATAAAATCTCATGAGAATTAGTGTAGCATATTAAAGTGGACATGAGAGTAATTTTTTTTTAATTAATGATTTTTTTTATATCTATTGATCATCTTTCAATGTCAAGCATCAAGTTTTTCTATTATTTCTTTCTTTCCAACTACATGCCGCACATTTTCGCTTAATCTTAGAAGGAGAGAATCTCACAAGCCCTTCTTTCTGGGCGGGCAGCCACGGTCTCTTATTAATTGATCGAAATTAGAGCACCCGGACCGCTTCATTGACAGAGCTACCGACAGTGCAATGACCGCTCGGTGATTCGAGCTTCAGCCAATGACGCACTACCCGGTTAGACGACAAAATTTTATTTTACCGATGACGTGGAATGCACTCCATGCCACGCGAAAATAATTGAAAAAGCATTTTCGTCGAATCGCTCGCTTTCGAAATGCATTAACGGATTTTCGATAATATATTGCCAGAAATTAATTTCGTTATTACCGAGTTGACGAAAGAGATGAAAAAAAAACCCCCCGTATATCGCCGCTTTATCGGCATCAGTGCGAATATAATACTTTTACGTTATCACGCAACGTGATCCAATAAACTACGGTAGTTTATTTGTCCAACAAATATGCCTTTCTTTTGATTTTATAAAGATACACATATTATATTTCTCAAAATCGCAACGCTTGATTATATCGCGAATATTTAATTTTATAAAATGTAAAATAAATACCACTTGTTTTACAGAATTTAAAGCTTACGAGATTTACAAAATATCGGTTGAAAATATTAAAACAAAAAAAATATTTAGGAGCCAACAAAATTACAGCTTGTTGTTCTGAATAATTCATAACGCGAAATGAATTCAAGTGAAGAAACAAAATTGAATGTTTTGCGAGATACGTTGCTTTCATTACGCGAATCCGACACTATAGGCGTCATGTTTTTCCACAATGTACATGAGATGCTGATAAATGCACAGAGGCGAGCACGCGAGAAAAAACAACACGCGTTATGACGAAAAAATACGTACGACTATGCGGGTGTGGTGAACGCAGCTACGTTTCGCCATATCGATTCGTAGTTAATTCGCAAAATAAAGCTCGTTTACGAACTTTACAACAGTGTCGCAAACGAGTTTGAAATGAGCTTCGCAAGGCTAGTCATATGGCGTTTTTTTTACTCCGATCCATCAATTTGCTCCAAAACTTTTCTCCACATCGTGATCTCGATCATGAAATATCATGGCGGCTTCTTTCAAGATTAAACGTCGCTCTGCACGACAGAATTCAATTTCATCGCGAGTAACTTGCGTAACCAGCCAAACAAATAAATCGCGCCAACGTCAGTTCTCCGTATCGTTGTGCGTGTATATGTGTGAAATAAAGATTGAGAGCTTTTAAAATATTCCATATGTTTTAAATATTACAAAATCTAATCGTCGTATCATGTCTGTTAACGAGCACCGAGATAATTGTCGACAATTACAAATTCAGTCTTGTCAACGATCCGTAAATCACGTCAGGGGGATAAAAGTGAATTAATTTCACGCGAAGCTAATTTTAACGCAGACCACTGCGATGAATATTTTAGAGGAATAGTTCAATGGCGAACAATTCCGCGAATAGCTCCATGACCCGGTCCGATGTGCAGGCACGATCTGAAAATTTCAACCGCGCATACATTATATCTGACCCATTTTTCGGCGTATCAAAACGAAAGCGCCGCATCGGGCCTTGACTTTAATTTCGCATTCCGAGATAAGGCTAGAATGTGGCGTGTGCAATCGATGCGCGAAGCCGCTTTCCGCTCTCGATGCTCATCACGTGTTCCTCGTTAGAATCGAAACACAATGAAACGTGTGTAATATAAAATACAACAGTGATTATATAAAATAGGAAACAGAAGTACAGGACAAATGCGTTGATAAATCGAGTAACGTTAACGAATCATTAATTTTTTACTCATTTTGTTAATAAATGAAGTAATATAGTTTTTTTTTTTTTTTCCAAATTTTATAGCAATACCTATTTTTGAATAAAGACTGCGATAACAATTTTTTTCATTAAAGCTACATTTACTTAATTAATAACGTTTGCGTTGTGTACGAAAACATCGTATCTTTTGTGCATTTTTGCATAATTTATTCTTATATTTTATTATGACTCGGGGAGGAGGAGGCATCGTGGGGAGACCGTCGTTCGTTTGCGCGCCAATGGCGCCTTATTAAACTTGCAGGGCTAACCGTTTCCACGAAAGTGCAAACCGCGTGCCATTACGGCACCGGTCGCGCCGACATTACTGATAATCGCGCGGCGAGTTACGCGGTTAAAGCAGATGTTACAACCGCGCCCCGGTTTTCACGCCCTCCGTACTCCCCGCTCCTCCACGCCGACTCCGTACGACGTATGAAAGTAATGAATATTACTATTATTACAGGTGTAGGCTTTCTCGTTAGCATCATCAAATAGCTACGAGGAGTAAGATCGATCCTTCCGGCCCGGATGCACTATCGCACGAAAACTCGATGGACTCTGCCTTAGAATGCAAATAGAACATTTTTGCAAATTGGCTGAAGTAAGTGAAGTGAAATGTTAAACGCAATAATAAAATAGAATTTCAAAACAAATTAGTTGTTATCGCCATATTAGACATCGCGCGATAAAGATCTCGACCATTGATAGAATGATTTATCGCTTTTTGTACAATACGCACTGTCTGTGTACAATATGTACTAATCTATCTCATTGTGCTTGTGATATGTCAATTTTTAGATACGTTCGGAATTTGCCATTTCATCATACGATAGCGGGAATTGAAGCGAACCGCTACTCTGCAGTTTAAGCAAAGTTCGAGGTAGCCTACTTGCGTAATATCTAACGAGATACAAAAATGTATCTGCGTCATTAATCTGCGCGCGATAATCGTGTAATAATTTACGCACTTAATTTTGCGATTAGCAAATATTTTCGCTTCAACAGTCTCTTAAAAATATTTGTGAATATAATCCTGTGAAAATTGCGAGGTTACAATTTCATAAATTACCATTTCGCAAATAAAAGAAAGTGAAAATTTTCTTTTGAATAATTTCGGCGATAAAAACGTCAAGTTGATGTTCAAAAGTTTTTAATCTAAAAATCTCCAACACATTCCACAAATATTTAAATAATTAAACTAAGGCTGATTTATTTTTTCATTCATTTAGTGCGCTAACTGAAGGAATTTAATCAAACTTCCGTTTCGCGCTTCAAAAGCATTTTATGCAGCTATCCTTCCACATCATTGTCTTTCCGAAGTATTCGGACCCGCGCTATCCCACCAGCTCGACCTCGGGAGAGGTCGATCCCTCTTGTCCGAATGTTTGTCGGAGCTATACGTTAATAAAACGAATTCGAGGCCGTCCTTTGCTCAGCCCGCCACGAAGGTCGGGGGCGGGCCCAAAAGCCGGCGGAGCATTCGGTAGGTAGACAAGGCCCGACCTCGAACTCCGCCGTGAATCGAGGTCCTTCGCCACACGTTTTCGTCTCTTTCGGTCTCTCCTCGGTGTCTTCTTTTTCCTCTCGCGAAAAAGCCCATGGCGGATTCTCGACTTCTCGCCGAGTCTGCCGCCTCCGCCGCCAAGAATTATCGTACCGCAACGTGATACGTGCGTTTGCGAAACCGACGCCCGCACGATACACCCGACAGTAAGTATCGCTCGATATATGTACGTCAGCCTAGATTATTACTTCGTGCCTTCGTTTGTGTTCTAATGTATTGCTGACTCATGTCCGGTCACTTGAAATACACATACCTAAACTGATATATTTCACTGAACGCAATACTCTTGGGAAAGGAGAGCTAACGTTCCCGAAATTCAATCGAAAGAAGATAGCTATTATAACAGATTAAAAATCTAAATTATATTTGCAATAGTTTGGAAGAGTCTCGATGGATTATTTGAAAAATAAATATTTTTATCGCCACACTTTTTCAAAGCGCCACCGCGCGAGCATTTTTGCTCATTTAACGCAACACGGGCAGTTTGGAGCTAATTAATTCTTCATTGATCTCAGCGCCTGTCGTTTCTATACGATAAACGTTCATTATGCCTATTTTCACGTTCGGATATTTATCACCCGCTCTTCGCTAAAATTATGAGCGCTCTCGATCCATTCTTTCGCTCAGCGTATCACGCGATAAGCTGATATCGCCGTAGCGTGAATCGTTAACCCGGCAACAATGCCGAAAGCTAAGTACCTTTCACGGGAATTCGGTGCGATCCTAATAGAGCTGTCCTATCTCGCCACGCATTGTCTCAGCATCGCCGATAAATCCGCGTATTCGCGGCGAGGTGCATTGTCGCGTTCCCGCGTCGCACGCACGCACACGCACGGACGCGGATTAAGCGCGCCCGTTGCGGATTTATAAGCGGACCCGGGTGGGCGTCGCGGCGCGGACAATGCCAGGCGCAACGACATTAGGCGAATGCAGTTTCACCTTCTCTACGTCGTGAAATTATCTATGCGGCAATACGCGTTTACGACTTTTATCCTTAACTCTTGAGAGTGTCGCGTCATGAAACGCGTTGCGTCGCGTTAAATTACAATAGCGAATGCGTGATAGACGTTTGCGCTTTCGAATATGCGTTTATTGAAATAATACATTTGCGATTAAAAAGTCTATGACGGACAGTTATTATCAGCGCCACCCAGAAAATTATTTTTAAAACGACAATCTTGTTTTATAGCTGTAGTTTTCATATAATAATATTATATATGGTTGATAACGATTTTCTTTTTACATATAATCTCTTTTATTGACTTTTTCTCGTGTGAAGCGAAAATGTTTTTGCAATTAATTTTTTTTTTTTTCGAAAATTAAAATTAAAAGTGTATCAAACATTCAGCATTCTGTTTGTTAGTTTCGACGTGGAATTCAGAGTTATCGCTCTGTATATATTTATATGTGTATAAGTACGTGGGAAATATACCTGAAATAACGAAATGCAAAGCCTGTCACGTCCTTGTGTGTCCGCATGCAATGATGCATTGCGCACTTGTGAACACTCCGCCACCGAATTGCAACAACCTGAAAAAAAAAGAAGCAACTTGTTATCGCACTCTTCTCTATCAATGCCATATCGCATCGATGGAAAATAAGCGCGCATTTTCGCGCGATTCACGCGAACTCCGGCATGCTTACGTGGCCAGATAAGATCATCGCTGTTCTCTTTATAATTCATGCCTTCGCCACAATATTGCATGTGCGACCTCGAAAATTGCGAGAACACATAGATTTTTATTTCCATTCTGATTGAAAAAAAAAACTAATGCAGAGGTTCTGTTGTAAAAAAAAAGAGAACATCATTAATAAGAAAACAATTATCTAATATTCCTAAACCAAATTCTACGCGTTGAAAGATCGTACTCGAAATGAGCGTTTTATTCTCAGTTCGTTTATCAATGACGAAACATCGTTCATGAAACGGATCGATAGCTCTAAAAATTGCAACAACGTTTCTCGCTGCATTGTCACAAAAATAAAACATCGCGTATACTTTCGCGAGGAAAAAATATATTTGTACATATCGATCATAATAATAATAATAATAATAAATTTTAAATTAGAAAAGCATATTGCGAACGTCTAAATATATACATTTCAGCATTCTCCAATAATTAATAAAACTTTGAAAAATGAAATCGAGTTTGTGCGTTTTGGGGGCTCGCCTACGCGCCAGTCTACTGAATAGTTGTGCAACACACGAGTGCACAGGTACGTAGGCAGTCGTGCCAGTCAGGTACATACCTATCGCCGCACCAGAAGTTCAATCGGATTTATTTATCGCTGCCTACCTACTGCGCTAGTTACGACCGACATTCCTCGGATCACCTCCACCCACGTTGTATCACAGAGGAATATCCATAGTCGACGGATTCCCAATTTCGATGACGTATCTCAATTTCTCAAATAGGCAATTCGCCTCATAATTGCGCGTGATTCATAGAGGGCTCGTATCAGATCGACCTTCGCTTTTATATCGCTCTCGCAACAATGTCGCTCGTACATCGCGCGCGAACGTTCACCATTTCACCACCACCACCGCGCTCGACGACGGACGTAATTTTAGGTTTGCGTCGTCGTATTACGCCCCGTTTCGCCGTTTACGTCCTCGCTCGCGCTATTTCGGTGCGCGCGGGTTCGTTGACATCGCCGTTCCCGTGGTTGTCATCGCCGCGTACGTGTACGAGTACGAAGTACGTGTACGAGTACGCGCTCTCGCCCGTGAGAGTAATGCGCTGCCGCTGTCGCTGCCCGTGTGTCAAAAGTGCTGCTCGCCAACTCGGCACAAGGTCAAGCAAATTGGCACCAGCTGCGACCGTGAGGCCGCAACCGAGAATGTCTCCTCTGTTCCGCCGCAGCGCACCATGCACTTAGGACAAAGAGAGGACTCTGTCGTCCGCGAACGAACCGCGGTAACTCACTCCTCAAGGCCGATGCCTTAAATTTGGCGAGCATCGCATTTGCCGCGGGCAACGTACACGCCGTCCGGCATGCGAGCCTCGGCAGCCTCGCGCGTTTCACTGATGCCAGGCTGTGATGAATGTTGAACACTTGCACCGTAATTCTCGCAACAAAGTAGAGAATCTCGTTAACGTTGCTTCCAAGTCCAATTAAATGTAGGAACCAATTTGGCGTAATTAAGCGAAAAAGTTACCAACATTTTTTGTTTAATGTATAGAAAAAAAATAGTAATTTCATGAATAAAACCAAGAGTTTCGCACATTTTTAACATTTTCATGCGACATTCAAATTCTTTTCTTGTACGAAAGTGCACAACTGATGCGCAACGGAAATCAAAAGCGATTCGAAGCGGATCAAAAGGTAAGAGATCTAACATCTATATCTTGATGTCGCGTTCTATCGCACACTCTCGATATATCTCTGGATATCTCTGGATAAGAAATATAACCAGTCATACTCGAGCAGCTCTCTCTTGAGACAAAATTACAGTCGGATCGTGTAATAGCAGACCTACGGAGTCCTGGTAATGATGCGGACTAAATTCCGGATATCCGATCGCGATAGCGGCGGTCGCAACAGCGGCGATCGCAATAGCGGCGATACGTGGACCGGCAATGTAGAATCTGTGCGCCGGCGACATAAACGTTAGGCCTACGCTCGCCTGGCTCGGACGGCGCGTGGCGCGATTGAAGGCGACTATAAGCGGACGACTATGCGAATGGCGCAACTATACGGCCCACTAAAAGCCCGGCGTTGCATAACATCGAGCGCGCGCCGTTGCAGCGGCATGGTGCGAGCGCGTACCTACGCTCCGAGGATCCTTTTTGTCTCGCCCGCCTCGTTTATGCTCACGGCGAGGCTGCCAAGGCGCAATAAACATCGCTGTTTATTAATTTCGCGAGCGCGTCACGTGGGCTTCGCTCGATTTCGCTCTCGCTGCAGCGGATATTGTATAGCTAACTCAATACTGGAAATAATTTAAATCGCAAATATTTGCATGCAGTTTTCTATTTCGAATTTTCGACAAATTAATTTTAACAGATTTCTTTCATCATTTCGCATGAATTCTTCTTGCAGGCCGTCACCTTCAATGACTTCTTAATATCCAATATTAAATAGAAGAGAGACTTTAGCAATACTAAAAAGTTTAAGTCAAAGCAATATGATTAAAACTTTATATATTTTTATGATATAATAAATTCCATTTTTTCTTTATTTGGATATTATGAAAACTAAACGATAAACTAAAATGAAAAAGAGAAAGTAGAGTTTTATTGTTGAATTTGTAATTCATATTATAAATTAATTCTAAATGTAGACAAATAACTCTGATATCTCGCATTGTTTAAACACACAAGATGCATTGAGTTTCGCGTAAAAACGAAAACTGCCACCTCTTTCAGAAATTACCACCTCCCTCTTTTCTATCCTTTGATCGACAATCGTGAAGAAGAGAATTCGTCTCACGCTGCATATAATTGTTATTTACGATGCAACGAATATTGTTCAAAGCAAAGATTGCGTCACGGAGAATTTGTAGTTAATCCGTTCCTAAGCCCGAACGCGGTGCTCAAAATTAATTAGTTTCTTATAAGTCGATGCTTTGCGCACGGCTAATTAGTTTGTTGCGAGTTAATATTTTACGATATCCGATGCGCGCGAGCGAGTAAGCGAGCTTTTAAGTTTGCACACAGGGAGCTTATCGCTCATAACCCATAAACACTTCGCACTTATTGCCGGCACGGCGGGGCCACAATATCGCTCGGCTTCAACGTTAACTCGCTGAACCCCCGTAAGCTGATGTTCCACAATAATTCGCGCCACTCCCGGGAACACCTGTTCCACGGTAGCTGCGCTAGATGGACGGTAGCACCGGCGTAACGAACGCGCCCGGCCGCCAGAATCGCTGAGTTTTACAAGCGAATCGTGATCACTTCATTCATTCCCGGCGCGGTGATAAATTTCGCGGCTGATCGGTCCAACACAACTCGGCACATGCGAACTCGGAATGTCTCGAAACTTATCGCTGAATAATGTTTTCTTCGGGATTTCTTTTTCCGAGATATTTGCGATTCTTATTTATATAATTTATCAATAATGATTGACGCTTATATCGATGTGATTTGTGTTCTCCCTATTTTGTACATAAATACAATAGATTGTGATTTCTCCGCGCGCCCATAGATTTCGAAATTTATAAATCCGAGCCAGCGTAAAGAAATATCTATATCCCTGTGTGAAAAATTCCTGCAACCATTTCCTTCCACCTTATGCAGTATTTCATTGCATCCCGGGGCCTTATATTGTCGCGCAGAGGGGCCGCGTGCACTTCGCGAGCCGTGAACAACGGCGATCGTGTATAATCGTTTGATACGTTTGCGCTCGCGCGGCGAATACTTGTTGCGCGCTGCCTATGAAATATGTATTAAGCCCTGAATCCGATGCACGGCGGCTTTTCCAGCGCGACCATGCAATATTTATGTGTTTCTCGTTACATCGTGCATTGCGAAATCGCGCTTTTCCGGGGGCCGCGTGCTAATACCACCATGGCGATCCTTTTTCGCGAGTACAAAGGAAACGCGGCTAAAGAGTTCTTGCTCGACGACTGTGACGATCTACATCGACAGATGCGCGATCTCATCGCATCGTAAGGTTACTAACGAGTCAGGTGCACCCTGTAAACAAACGAAGCGATTTGTGTACAAAAACAGATCGACAGATTTTAAAACATTTACATTGCTTGATGAAAATAGCGACCGTGAAAGATGATCTCTCGTTCTCTACCTATTTTCATAGATATAGAAAAGATAATTAAAGTTTCAAGGTTCTTTTCATTCTATGTTGTTATAAATTTATGACAATATGTAAAAACTATCTTTTTTTTTTTAGATAAAATGCTCGCTTTTTTATATTATTTCAATCTGACATTTAATAATAGTCCCAAACAGAAATACGGAGAAATGTTTAGAATTCAGAATTCTGTGCAAGAATAATACAAACTGTACAATCGCAATTTACAAGCGAAATACTGTACTCCCCGAAAACGAAACCTCTGGATACTGCAAGTGGGTAATGATAACACTCGAAGCTCAGCAATCACATATGTCGTTGCTCCCGTTTCGGTCAATCGCTCTTATCAGAACAAATAGAAAGTGTTCAGCGCGACGTCAACGTCCGCGCGCGTGCTTTCCGTCTGTCGAACATTTGCGTCAACACGGTGACCGCCGAATAACCGATCACAATCGGCATATTTAATTCCTTTAATCATAACGATCTCGGGTGAGCGCCGTATGTGATCCGTATTTGATCAGCAGCACGCGCAGCGACAAATAATACGGCTAATGTACACGCGGCGCGCGCGACCGAGATGAAATATTGCGATTTTCGTATTAATTTCGTTGCACGCCGCGGAAAAGTAGCCTCGCGCGCTCGTCTCCTGAAAATGATACGAATTTAATTTCGCTCGAAATATCTGTGGCGGTAAAAAAAAAAAAACGAAAAAAAAGAGCTGATAACGAATATGAACTATCAGATAGATAGTGAATTTATTACATATCTGTAGT